CCCGCCCTGCGTGCCGGCGGCCGTCCGCTGTTCCGCCCCGGTCACGGCGGATGACCGCGGGTGCAGATCTGACGGGGCCGTCATTTCATCCGTAGGCTGTGTAGCCAGAATACGTTAACTGACGCAGCAACGGTCTTTATAAGCGGTCTACCGAAGAGGCATGACAGTGCAACGTCGCTTTAACGAGAGTTTTCCTCTGTGCGTGTTGGACGGTGTTACTAAGTTTTAACCAACATGTGATACGTAGGCATTTTCCTTTTAACAATTTGATGTGAATATTGTCACATACCTGAATTTTTATGGCTTTTTTTAAGTTGCTCTAAAATATGTCTCCTTAATTTTATTACTTATGAATTTGAAACTATGAAGTGCATTCCAGCATGTTTGAAATGCTGATGAAGTAATTAATTAAAAAACATCATGTATATAAAAACTATAATGTATATAAAAATTGTACTTTTCCATGGTAAGCCAGTTTTTGTTTATTTAATGCTAGCAGATTTCTCACTGAATGAGGCAAACTGAGTGTGGCAGAAATACGGGTAGACTAGAAGTCTCGTCTCTACTTTTAAACTGTTACCATGATCTTGAGCAGGTATCTTAACTTTCTGGACTTACAGTTTTTATATATTAAAAAACAACAAATTTTTCAGTCATTCATGGACATATACACACTCATTTATTGTGCTGAACATGCTGAACACTGGAATTTGACACAACACTGTAAAATGATTATGAATCAATAAAAAAATGTAAAAAAAAAACAACAAAAAGAAGCTATTCTGTTTGATCTTAGGCCTTTTCTAGTTCTCTGGCTCTCATCTTTATTTTGCTGGCATATTTTCATATTTTATATGATGTGGAACATCTAGATTTATTTTTAATAATAAGAAAAATCAACAAAGAATTGAATGTGTATCTATGTTACTTTTATAATTACTTATCTGTGAGCAAGAATGTTCTGTGGTTGGATAACTTAATAATATATGCTCATTTTGATGCATGAAAATGGAAATAGGACCACTTCCACCCACCCTTCAAGGCACTGCTCACCAACAACTTTCTTTATTAAGTTCCGCCCTCACCGCTAACCTGAAGCACATTTCTCTGGTGTTCCACAGCACTTTCCTCAGTCTCTCCTAGAAGACCCATTTCATTCTGTCCCATATTCCTAGTTAATCGCTCACCTGCTGATTGCCCCTCCTAGACTGTAAGCTCATTTGAAAGTGTGGGATGTGTTTTACTGGTCTTAGAGTCATCTCTGAGCATAGTGCTTTGCACTTAGGAAGCATTCCAGAAACCTCTTAGTCGACTCCATCTCTACTAGCAAATCATATTTATATAATCAAGACTAGCAGGACCCAGTACTTGCTTTTAAACGTTGTACCCTAATATCAGAAAGTTCTTTTTGTCTCGTTTGTGTGCACTTCTGTCAGACTCTGTGGCCCAGGCAGAACATCAGCCCTTGCTTTTGCATGACGTTTCTGACCTCTGGCTCTGGCCGTGCCTTTCCTCTTCCCGCCCCCCTTTTCACCATCTCGCTTATCCTTTGCCATGGACAAGCCTTCTCCAAGAAGCACTCCCTAACCCCTCATGCCATCCCCAGGCTGGGTTAGACGTCCCTCCCCTGTGTTCCCATGGCCTTCTGTGCCACTACAATTATCTATCATACTTGTCAACTCCCTTGTAGTACATTTATTTTCCTCTCTTTCCTCTGGTGTGTAAGATCTGGAAACTCAGGGCCTTACCTGGATTGTTCTAACTGTATCCTAAGGGACACAACAGGGTGTGGCACATTTGTGGGATGAACATATAACCTTTAATCATTTTTTTTCCTAATGTGAAAACAGAATTCCATTAAATTAATGACTTGCCCAAGACCTCAAGAGGATAGTGTAGTCTTCTTCAAATCAGGTTTATGTGGGTCATTGCAGCACTAGTTTTTCCCAGGTTATTCAAGAAGAACCATAAATACACTATGCCAGAACTGTTGCCATTTCTGAGTGGAGAAAGACAAGGGGTGTTCACATCATTGAGGTTTACTGTATCACTGAATAAAGTAAGTGTGTGATGATGATCAGCGGGCTGTATTTTGTGTCATTTAATGGATTTGCAAGG